TTTAATAATGTAAATGGTATTATCATACCAAACAAAACTAACAGTAAAAGTTAAAGCTCTCTAATGATCCAGCCATATTTAATTTTTCCCCATCATCTCAAAAATGTCTACACACACAGGCTGGGGAAATGGCTCAGTAGATAAAGCACTTGCTACACAAGGGTAAGGATCCAAATGTGTATCTCCAAATGTGTATCCAGGTAAAGCTGCAGTGATCAGCACACCCCATGGTGCCTCCAGTGAAATGGGAGGCAGAGACAGGAGAATTCCCAAGAGCTCATGGACTAGCTAACCCAGTGTACTTAGGGGTGAACAACATTAGCCTGACCCTGCCTCAAGCAACACCTAAAGTTTTCCTCTGAACTCTCCATACTTGCTGTAGCTTTCACACACCCACATTCAAATACATGAGTATTCCCACAGCATCACACAAATGCGTGTACACACACACCTACCCAATACACTCCCACGTATGTACATCATATATGTAAAAAATTGTCCACACACAGTTTATTCAAAGTAAGGCCCCCAAAGTTCTCCAAATTGCCTTTGATTAGTGTACTCTTATGAGTTACTTTGATCTAATGGCATTTGAGCTATTTTTCTCATAGAATTTATCTACTGAAGAAATTGCTTCCTTATTTAATCTTTATAACCTTTCCTTAATATTGATGGGCTAAGCTTAGCTAATGTTATCCATCCTTAACCCCCAGCTAGCCATTCTCATTCCTCCCATGCTGTTAGCCAGCTGGGGTCATTTAATCCCATGACACTTAAATTTGTACCTTATATAAATAAAATGAAATCATAAGTAAAATTAATGTATCTAATCAACATACAGTTATATATGGAAACTTCCTTTAAGAAATCTATTTTGATAGCTACTAATCTCACTAAGAAACTTCCATGGTCCATTCTCCATAAGATAAAAGTTTTTATCAATCTTGCTAATAAGGCCTCAGCACAAAGGAGGACTTGTATAATCATCACACATGAAGACAGATGCTTCATGTGCAAACAGACTTGCCTGAGTATATGTAGCTTTCTGGTATGCCAGGAAACCACACTTGGTATGACTCATCTGTGCTACAATTAAAACCACCCTGTTTTCAATGTCTCAAAAATAATTTTTAAGGTTTACAAAGTTGAGAGACCAGATGGTTCCCTTTCCAAACATTTGTATTTTCCTCACCCAGTACCAGGAAGTTCATTTCAGATTGCATTTCTATGTTTGATTGTTGTGTTTCCTCTAAGTTAGAATACAAACAAGCTAAGGTATCTGATAACATTTCAATATATTGTACAAACGGTGCTCCTGTTCCCTGTCTGGATAACATTGTGTAATTCATTCCAAAAGCACACTTTTGAAAATCTCAGATAAGGGAAGTAGAGTGGTGAGTGGATTTCTGAGAAGAGATATGGGAATTTTACACATTTTTTCCTTTCTACTAACTGAAATACTAACAAGATTCTATGGAGAGCTGGCATATGGGGAAAGAGTCCTTTGGTTTAGGTGAATACTATATATCTTCACAAAGTTTATTTCTGAAATTATATTGGTAGTGGGGTTATTTGTTTTTATCTTTGTGTAGCTTCATATAGTGATATTTGGTGCAATTCAGAAGTGAAAATTGATAAGAGAATTAGACCATGGAGAACCTAAAGCAACTTCATTGACTTTCTCAAAAGATTTGTATTTATCCTTAGAGAACGAAATTAGAAAAGTAGGTAAAAGCCGTGTCTCATCTAAGAACAAAATTTTCGTTTATAATTTTTACTTTTAGTTGCAACAGTACAACCATATTCAAAGCTGAGAATTCTAATATGCTCACATATATTATTTTCAAAATTAATCATTCTTGAAGGTTCCACATTTCTCAGCTAGTAAAATAATATTTTCTTTATTCTTAAGCCTTTCTTTTGAGGATCATTGGGAAAACTTCGCCAAAAAAACATGGGAACTTACTAAGTTTTCAGTGTGCAAGTAGCTCGTCCTGTTTGAAAGTGGCAGGTGTAAAGAGAAGCTTGAAATCCCATTAGATCAAAGCCTTACCCCTGTGGGCGACATCCCTTCAAAATAGATGGATGCTCATTTTGATGCAGTCCTTGTACAAGTATCCTTAATGCTTTCTCAAGAAAACAGTGACTGCAAATTTAGATGTCTCAGTTTATACCCACATACCAATGTTTCCTAAAGCCTGGCACAGTACAAGGGTGATCAGATACCAGACAGCTTTCCAACTTTAGCCACTAGTCTTATTCAGAATTTTTGTGCCTTGAACATTCATCCTAGAGGATATTAAATATGAATGCGTGTAAGGTCCACCTAGCAACTTTGCAAAGAGCTTATCCCTTGCCTCTGGTACAGAGACCTCACTCTAAAGCACTGGATGAATCCAAGCATCACCATGTCCAGTAGCACCAGGTGCCTGTGTTGCAGGCAGTCATACATTGCCTCCTAGAAGGGTTATCTCATCCAGTCAGCATATTGATATCATTGCAACCTTTAAGAGGACTTAATGGTAGAACGCTGCCCTGTCCTAAGCCAATAAAGTCACCTGCATTTGACCCATTGAAAGGGGCCTTTTCTGTGACTGTTCTTGCAGCACCTTTATCAAATTGTGCCCACTGTGCAGAGATCATTACCTAGCCTGAACTGCAGGGGTTGGTTTTTGTTCATAGTTGCAGTTACACCACAGGTGTGGTCTAACCTGGGGCATTCTGTGTCACAACTACGATTCATGGTCAACGTGCCAGGTGCCTTTCTTTAATTTCATGATGAGGGAATCCTGAGCAAGCTGAAGGGCAAGCAGCAGTTACAGCCTCAACCCTAAACCTGAAAATGCCATATAAACAGTCTGCATGAGGTCATTTAAGGTAATCCAATGAAGATTTAAATTCAGAACCAAAGTTTAAATGTTTCATTGGCTTCCTTGATAAAGAATGAATTATTTTTTGAACCCACAGTGGAAATGGTAGAGGGAAAATGGGGATCTGTAAGCATCCCTGGATCTTTTTCTTTAAAATTATTACCTCAAAGTTCTTTTATCTATGTTCAATAACTAATAACACCATTTATTACTTTTAAATATTTCATTTATTATTTTTACTTTATGTGTATATTGCCTGCATGTAGGTAAGTGCACCTGTATTGTGCAACACCCGTGGAGGTCAGAAGACAGCATCAGAGCCCCTGGAACTGTAGTTATGGACAGTTGTTAGCTGCCATGTGGGTGCTGGATTCAAACCTGGGTCTTCTACAAGAACAGCCAGTGCTCTTAACCACTGAGCCATCTCTCCAGTGCCTATTTATTACTTTAAATAAATCACTAGAGCAATAGCTTGGAAGAAATAATATGTGATTAGAACAGTTTGATCATTTTTAGGATTCTTATGTGATTATGAAAATTCTAGCAATGGTATGGTCAGTTAACATTGTTTGTGCATATGAAGAACTTGTAGTTGGAAGCTCTGTCTCCTCTATTAAATCAGAGGACATCCCCATATACTTTCAGTTTGGAAGACAGGGTGCTTTCTGTAGCAATGTGACTTCAAGACAAGTTGAATAGCATGTATCCTCACCTTAATTCACCAACCAATGTGCTACCATGGAAACCTTTCTAGACAATTTTAGATTGCTTGATGTTCTAAAACAATATTACAGACACATGATTTTCTCCCAGCACCATGAGAAACATCCTGTGTTCAATACAAACTATAATGCGATTCTGTGTATGATTCGTATCTTTAAAATTATTTCTAAATATATTCCACACATGAAATGAATTGAAATCATTAACAGCATCTAATAAAACTTGCTAAATATTTTGTGTGTCAATGTGCATGTGTGCATGTGTGCACTGTATGTATGCCTGTATGTTTGTATATGTGTGATACAGTATGCTATCCTGTACCACAACAGCCAATGAAGACTATATTACATTAAAAAATACAAGGGACTGGAGAGAGGCCTTGGCATGAAAACCTGAGATCAGTCCCCAGAACCCACATAAAAAGTCAGATGTAACAATGCAAGTCTGTAAGCCTAAGGCTGGGACAGAGACCAGAGGATCCTAAGGACTTACTGCTCAGCCAGTCTAGACAATGTCAATGTGCAAGGTTCAGTGAGAGTCCCTGCCTAAAAATTAAGGTTGAGGGAGATAGACGAAGATACCCAATGTCAAGCTCAGGCACTACACATAGTGCATACACAGAACACACACATACACATATACACACATTAAACTCATACAACATAATGTCTAATATGATTCGTAGAAATACTCTAACCAGATTTTTACTGTATATGGTTATGGTTCCTGATAATGACAAGAGGATTCCTCACTCTGAGAAAATGTTAATTTTTAAACTATGGAGTAATTAGACCCATGCTTTTCTTCTAGCTATTACTTGTCGAAAGCAAGATGGAGGGCAGGCTGGTGTCCAGGAGTGCCTCCAGTATGCAGGCCCTGTGCCAGCCCTGACCCAGGCTTGCCAGATCCCCTGCCAAGATGACTGTCAATTGACCGGCTGGTCCAAGTTTTCTTCTTGCAATGGAGACTGCGGTGCAGTTAGGACCAGAAAACGCATGATTGTTGGTAAGACAATAATTTGGGTGCTAAATCCAACTCTCATCAAGGCAGAAAAACACAATAAAAGTCATACTGAGAATGTGCTGACAGTGTATTTGAAAATCCTGTTGTTGCTGTACTTATCCTGAATAAACCAGTAGATAAAAGTATTTTCATGTAAGATAGCAATGATAGAAGCATGCCATTTAAGAAGAAAGGAAAGGTAACTTAACCCTTATGCAATAAATGACACATTGCTTTGGGGCTTAAACATGTACCTTTATTGAACTGCCCAGAAAGCGTGACATGCCTGCAACAGAGAGGGGAGCTACCTCTTCATCTTCTCAGCCCATTCTCACTGCCATGTTCCCAGGACATAGTTTACCTCCTCCCAGGAAGAGTTCAGTCTTAATTCTATGTCTGAAAAATACATCTGAAAACAATGACAGAAACAACAGTAACTTAATTACTAGTACAAGAGACAGAATACTGAACTGTAGCCCGATGCAAATGAATACACTGTCAGTGGCAAAAAAGAGACTAAAAATATTGGGGTTAATAGACTGTTCAGAGTCTTTAAATTATAAGACTAATCAGCTGTGAAATGAAACTATTGAAAACTATATAGATCAGCTCATGAAAATTAGAAATAAGTATGTATGATCAGATTTTATAATGAAGTTAAAGATTATGTCGCTCATGATATAAATATATAGCAGTTATTTCATGTGGTATAATTGGCATAATTATATCTATAATTTTCAGGTACATGAATAACTTCTATGTGAGAAATTCTTTAAGAGGAAATTTATTGAGATTCAAAACTTTTAAAATTCTTTATTCTGATATCCAAAACCTTCATTTGAAGTGTTATTGGTATTTTCAACATTAGTCACCAAGGATGTCACAATGATTACTGGACAGAAATTTTGAAGGATGCAAAATCATAATCCAAGAAATAAGTCCAAAGTCTCTTATTTCCAAATTATAGTCCTTGCCCGGCGTGATGGCACACACTTTTAAACCCAGCAGTCTGTAAGATTAAGGCCAGCCTGGGATACATAGTGAGTTCCAGGTCAGCCAGGGATACAAGGAGAGGTTTGTCTCAAAAAGCCAAAAAAATAAAACAAACTACAGTCTTGTTTAACTATGCCACCTATGTGCAAACAGAAGACAGTATGCAGTGAATGAAGTGATCATCTCTCTGTATCTCATGTCTTTGCATATATTAAGAAGGAGAGATGCATTAAACTACCTCAGACTCCCTAGGTAGTGCAAACACGTGCTCACTGAGAAGACTTTAATCATTTTTCAAAGAGTGTAAGATTCAACTACAGGCCCTTATGCAAAGTGGACTACTTAAAATGAGAAAGTAAGAAAAAAAATTGCCATGCAAAGCGCAAAGCACCAAATATCAGCAAAGATTTATTTAGAAAGCACTTTGAAAGGAAAACTAGCACTTATTTATAGGCTACTCTTGAATATGATCAAAACCAGAGAAAGGAAATTTAAGAAACTAAAAATTTTAAGAGCATTTTAAATTAATACTGCTATTTTCCCATTTCAATTTATCTTCCACAGGAAAAAGTAAAAAGAAGGAAAAATGTAAAAACTCCCATTTGTACCCTTTGATTGAGACTCAATATTGTCCTTGTGACAAATACAATGCACAACCTGTGGGGAACTGGTCAGACTGCATTTTACCAGAAGGGAAGGTGGAAGTGCTGCTGGGAATGAAGGTACAAGGAGACAGCAAGGAATGTGGACAAGGGTACCGTTACCAAGCTATGGCCTGCTATGATCAAAATGGGAGACTGGTGGAGACATCCAGATGCAACAGTCACGGTAATCCAATACTACTGCAGTGTTTCATGTTTTCTCTCTTTGAGAGAGGAGATAAAATACACCTCCATCAGAGAGAGTAAAGGGAAGTTGCAGAACTCTGTTCTAAATGGAACACTGTGGCACACACCACAGCAATAGGATGTTAAACGGCATTGTCTAGTGGTCCAGAATCAGCAGATAAGTCCCAAAGATGGTGAGAAGCATTATGGGGCCAGAGTCTTTAAAGGGGAAGGCAAGAATGGGTTCAGAATTCTCCCTTGAGACCTATCAAGAGCTTCCTCAATCAACAGACCCAATAGTCCCCAACGGGGGTGTGAACAGAGATTGAAAAGAGATAATATTTGAATTCAAAGTGATAAAAGTTTTAACCTAGGCAGACTTTTAACAACCAAATTCACAAACTTTGCAATGTTCCCAGAATGTTATTAAAGTGCCAGAAGAAACTCTTGAACATCTGTTTATTGTCCATTGAGTTGAGACAAGAGGAAACACACACACACACACACACACACACACACACACACACAGCAGAAAATGCCTCTAAAAAACTGTGTTCACTTTCATTTTGTAAACCAAACTTCAGTGACAATAACTGAGTTGCCAAAAGTTTGCAAATAGTGGTTGTTTGGCCAGTGTATATATTGAATTCTTGACTTTTGATGTTAATGCAGCATTAGCAATAGGTCACCACTGCTCTTCAGTGTTAATGCATCTGCTTTTTTATAATAGAATGTGATCAGTATACAGTATGCCAGCCTGAGTCACAGAGGACATGTATTAGGAAGCCCTGGACAATGATCTCCTACCCAGTGATAGAGATGACCAAGAAAGAATGAATTAAAGTGTTAACAGCAAATATATAGCAGCCACCCTCCAAATAACTTCTGCTATTGGAATAGAGCTGATCCAGTTTATTATACGACTCAGAAGACAACACAAACTAATAGGACCATTTCACATTTATAAACCATTAAGACACCATGCTCATACAGCTATCAGAGTCCCCTAAACCTTCCCCTACAAAGGAGCTTCTAAATACCTTTTCCCTATTTTAGCCCTCTCCTGTAGTTCTTTTTATCAAACCCCAAAGACTCCACCAATACTGAAGCTAGAGATTTAAATATTTTTCAGGTTAATATATGTGCATTGCTAATTGAAGATTGTTCCATGCACTTGAATCAATAGCTTAGAGAGGTGGTTAATAGTTTGAGAAATATCTGTTTGAATAACTGTACATTCTATTTTGAGACAATAATGAAGAAAATCACATTTAGTTATTAAATATAAATATATAGGGTCATTTTAAAATGTGATTCTCTTGGAATGTGGCATCTGGTGTTTGCTCTCATTTAACTTGTCCCATGAAGTGAGCTTCTTAGATAATCATTTGTTTGGAGCATTGCCTGTGAACTTCCAGAATGCCTTTCATTTATATAGTTTGACTTCTACTCCGATCTGCTAATTAGGTACATGAGATCTTTAGAAATATTACTCTTGGGAAAAAAAAAACCTTTTCTTTTTTGAAGTTCTGGAGATCCAAACCAGGGCTTTTTTGCATGCTAGATAAGTGTTCTACCACTGAGATAAATTCTCAGCCCCTAGAAAATAATTTTTAGCAAATTATGTAACTCTCATAATTTGCGACCTAATGAATATATCTAAGTTACTTACACTTAAAAGATCAATGTAGAAATGCAATCAAAATTAGCTAAAGGCAAACGTCTTACCTTAATATAATAAAGTCAAGGTGTGAAGAATGTAGTACTGCATTCTAGGGAAAGGTACAGGTAGCAAAAGATGGCATCGTGGTGCTTTGAACTTCATGGGGAGTGTAAAAGAACCCATGAAAAATCTTTAACCAAGCAAACCATTCTAGTTCAGTTCTGTATGCCCTGCACTAGTCCTGTCTTCCTCTGTCTCGATTGTGACAGGATGTCCAATGAGGTGCTGGAAAGCTTACTATAACACTGAAAGTAAAGTTTGGGGAAACTTAATCTCTATTAACAGATTTCTTTGGACAATTGCTACTTCTCTTCAGTATGTTCTGTCAGTTCTGATAGAGTTTGTGGAATGCTAAACTTTGCCACACTAGCCTAGGTGTGCTCTAAACTGCTCTATGACAACTGCCTTCTCCCAGCCGAGTCAGTTTTCTAGATGAGTAATAGATGTGGAATTTTATGTGGCTTGGAGAAATATCTGTCTTCCTGCTTTCAAATTAAATATAAAATTGACTCCCACAAGTGTGATGTGTGATGCATTAATCCCTGTTCAACATTGACCTTGGGGTGTTTCTGTCTAATCACTGTGGTCCATCTTTGCGATTCATGTTATCAATAATTATGTTATGCAATTTGACTGTCACCAGTTTAATTGCATGTTATGTTAGACTATTTCCCATGTGGCCAACTTTTTTTAATGTCTTGGGGCACAATTTTACTATCACAGCTTACATTTTCTTATAATCTCTCTGGGCTGAGAAGTACTATGATTATAATTCTAAAATTGGGTCTTATATTCTGATTTCTCATCAGATCATATAAATATTTCAATTTTTACTAGAACCAGATCTTAAAATATACTTTAGAAGTTGCATAAATGTTCATTCCTCCTGACACCTACTATTAAGTATATTTACTACACAAATATTTATGTGCAGATACACATTTGGGAACATTTATTTGTACTAAAAACATACTGTAAATCATATATATTTACTTCTGACATGAAATCTTTGATAGTGGTGTCAGAGACATGGCTCAGCAGTTAAGGGCACCGACTGCTTTTGGAGTGGACTCAGGTTCAGTTCCCAGCACCCATATGATGACTAACAATCATCTGTAACTCCAATTCCAGGAGATCCATTGTCCTCTTTTGACCTCCATGGATGTTACATGCATGTGGTGGGACTTACATGTAGGCAAAACATTCATACACTTAAAATATAAATAAATAATTTTAAAATGTTTTTAAATTTTTGATGGTTTCACTATGGCAACATATTTCAAATCACTAAAATACCAAGTCACGTATTTTTCTATTCATTATTAGAGTTGTCTAAGGTCTTGATTGATTGATGATTCACTAGAAATTTATTGAGTGCCTAACTGCACACAATACTAAATATTTCTATGTTAATCACCCTCAACAATTCATAGAATAAGGATTTGAAATTCTGGAATTTTTAAAAATTAAGTTGGTTATCTTTGAGAGCTTAAAGAATATTAGAGGCAAGTTGGCTTATGCAAAATATACAATATAAGCTTTCCACTCAAGTATAAGTGACAAAATTTTATCATGCAACTCCTAATTAACCCAGCACTCCAAAATTCCTCATTCTGTTCCACTTTTGGTAATTGTAAGGTATGTATCACCCTATAAACATACCACATAGTTTATTTATTATGTTCATTATCTTCATCTCCCATGCAAGAATAGAGATTTATTAGGATGCCTTAGACTGCCTTGTCACTGATGTTGCCTAAGCATTTGGAAGAGCTGATGCTTAATAAATATTTACAGAATGTATGACTGAATGAAATGCTAGAGAGAATGTATTTTCTGCATGGAAAGAGTTGACCCCTGGTGTGTTTGCAGTTGATCAGGACCTCTGTATCACTTTCTCTTTTCTAGTGACCTTTCCTATATATTACATTTCTGGATAATAACCAAACAGACCATTGATAATCACTGAGATCTTTGGAATAAATAAGAGCTACACATACCACAAAATTTCTATATGATACCTATCAAATATCCAGGTTTTTCTCTACCCACTAATGAGAGAAAAAATAATAATCACACAGCTGCTTTGTTCAATTAGATCAATAATATCCTAATTAAAAGTTCTTTTGTTGCCATTTAAAATTTCCTCTTCAAAATGGCCTAATTGTGTAACTTCTTTGTTCATATTAGGAATCATGTCAACTTGGATTTTCCTAAACAGTGTCTAAAACTTCGAGAGTTGGGGATATTTAACTCTCTTTATTTTTACTTGTTTTTCTTATGAAAATAAGGAATAATAATTCCAGGTGATTTCCTTGAAATAAATGCCTCAAAGTTGAAGAGATAAAGTAAAAAAATACTGGATTCTCCAGTTGTTAGCTCATTAAGCTACATAAATACTTCCAGATAATTCTCTTCAAATTTACCCTCAGGAAGTTTGTATTAGCTATTTCACATTGGCAGTTTAAGCCATAATGCACTCTCTGTAAGCAGTCTGAGTTAAGACAGTGATACTTGTGATACTATCATCTGCTACTATGAAGTAAACATAAGAGTTCATTAGAGTTCTTCGTGAGCCCACAATATTTAATGTGCATAACTTTCCTATTGTCCAGAGGTAGAACACTGCTTTTGAGAACATCAAAGAGTCACAACACAGACAGTGAGGAAACTCAAGAACTGGGTTAACTTAGTCAAATTACTTGTCACCAAATGTTTTCTAAAGGATCAGATAACAGATATTTTAGGGGTTGTGACCACAATCTCTGTCACAACTGCTTCTACAGTTGTAGCAAGAAAGGAACTGTGGACAAAATAAGAGCTAATAAGCAGGACCGTGTCCAGGAAAACTTTATTTAGGAAAACAGGATGTCAGGTGAGCTGTTATCTGAATGGCGATCTAAACCCTAGCTGTGCAAAATGTGGTCCACAGATCAGAGGTGTGAAGATCACTGAGAAACTGTAGCAAATCCAGAAACAGCCTTCTTGGCTGACCTGTTGAGTCAGAATCCACATCTCAACCAGATCACAAGTAGCATATGCTACACATTCAGAGTCTGAGGAGCACTGTTCTGCATCAAATGGACAAGCTTAGGAGGCTCAGGCTACACAGGAGTTCTAGTTGACACCTGAGAGGGAGAACTGGACAGTAGGACAAAGCTATTTGGGGATAACATAATCCTTACCTCCATGTGACTGTGTACTTGATAACCAGCCATGGAAAGTTTTGATATATATTTCTGATGTCATCTTCACAAACAGAAAGCTTGTAAAAGTAT